ATTATTATCATTATTTTTTAAGTAATTATTATTATCTTCATTACGTGCGTGTAACACACACACACATACACACACACACACACACACACACACACACAAACAAACACACACACACACACACATACACAAACACACACACGTACAAACTTACAGACAGACAGACTGACTGACAGACAGACAGACAGACAGATAGGCAGACAGACAGACAGACAGAAAGTGCAAGAGTATCAGTGCAAGAGAATGTGTGTGTGCCTAGCCGGTCTGAGAGAAATAACAGTATACTTTACTGAACTCCATGAACAGTACATGTTGGACAGCAGATCTTTGAACACGCCGTTCTTTCCAATCTCCAATATTGTGACTATTGATCTCACAACCCTACATGATGGAAAGGACACCGCCAGTCAATCATGCACGACTCCAATCAACCAACACTCGACTTAATGAAACCTCCTACGCTTGTTGTGTTCCAAGTCCCCAATTTCATACAAGTATCTATTAATTCTTAGTAACATGACCGCGGTCACAATTGAGCTCTGCAACTGACGTATATTGTATAGTAGTCAGGCACTTCACTGTCGCATGCAGGATACCTGAGTTCGGTTCCCGAGTGAGCAAAATGTTTTCAAGTATATCAGTCTTTCTGCTGGGATGTTGTACCCCTCTCAGCCCGGGTTGGCCGTGACAAGCAAGTTAAATTCTACCTCGTATTTAACCCTCTCCGTACGTTGTGTTTTACTGTCGTATCCACACAACGCGGGGAACTCAGTGCATAGCATTCTGTCAAAATGATTTTTTTGGAGAAATAGTGAAAGTTTCAAAGAGGTCCTCGTACTAGAAGTATTCTTAAATGTGAAGAATACAACCTCAGGGGTACAAAATGACCCCAGGGCGTACAGATGGGGTTAATCTAAATTGTATCTATAGGAGCGTAAAAACATGGAATTAAATTAAAATAACACCAGTTCAGCAAGCACCAGTGATATTCATGTATGATTCCTCTTAACGGGGACGCCGTTTGCTCAGCTGATATCATAATGGACTACGGAGTGGATGTCACTGGTTTGAATCCCTGACTGGGCGATATGAACTTATATTATTATTGTTGTAAGTTTTTAAGGCTCTCCAACTGGCTCGGATCTATCTTGAAACAACTTTAAAGTTGTGATTCTGCCCCTTAAATAACTTTGAATGTGGTGTCTAGCTTATTATAATAATCTTCAGTTCTTCTAAATCTGCAAAGGAAAAGTGTCTATTGTGAAGTGACTGACAATAAATCATTGAATAGTGGGAAAAACGATTTGTCATAGATATTCCTTCTGTCAGTAGTACATCATTCTGGGTTGGGGGGGGAGGCGGGAGAGAATCATGAAAGTATTTTTCCCTATGGCCTGAGCTAAGTCCGCTCAAAAGAGAGATCTTTGGAGCCTCAAACTTTATAAACAAATAAACGGGCTAAACCTCTTCACAGCCAGGCTCAAGAACTGAGTGACGAGACAAGTCTTCGAATAATAGCGCATTCCTGCATTCCATAAATATTAGTTTATAGAAATAAAAATAATCCATTGTAGGTTGCTCTTTGTTTGATTTAAGGAATTTGGGATTGTCTTCGTCCCCCTTTCAACACAGGTCCAATAACCGTCAACCCTCTCAAACCCACAACGAAAGGGACATTGAGCTGACCTTGCAAAGAGGACCTCTTAGTTGACAAAACTTTGTCCTCCCCTGCTGACTCTCAAACTCTTTTTCTCCAGCCACTCAAACTTGCTGGGTTAAATCAAGAAAACCTAATTACCTACCTTCAGTGATTTTAAGAAAAGACAGCAAAATGAGCAGAAACAAAGCCAGTAAATAAAAAGCTTACCAGAAGCTTAGATCTACATTATTATTCCGTAGATTATCTGCTATTAACTTGTATTAGGGTTACATCGCAAAATGTAGTCGATTGGAATTAACCTACTCTGTGATTACGCATGGCCTATGCAAATTAACAAAACCCAAAAAAAATCGGACAAATTTGTTTTTTTATTTAATGTTATATTAAATCTAATGAATTTGAGTTCCTGCACAAGCAAAACTTTTTGGTTTATAGTACTCATTGTGGGCACAGCAGAGTGGTAGTACCCCAACCAATGACGTATTAACTGAGGCGTCAGTACTGCTTACTGTGGGCAATTAGGGGATGAGGCGACCAGGCCATGGTTGAGGATTTGGGGTGGGGAATGGGAGGCTGGTGGGGGAGAGGGATGAGTTATGGGGGAGAGGGATAAGTTGTGGGGGAAAACGGTATATAAAGTATATTATATTATGTGTATATATACATACGAGT